GGCAAGCTTGGATGGAGTCTCCAAGTTCTTGTTGAATCTCTCCAGCTCGCATGCAGAGAAAGAGCCCTTTCACTCCATCCTTCTCTTCTCGGCGAGATTTCTCGACGCGAGAGACAAGACACTTTATTTGATGAATGTAGCCCATTTCTTGAGCACCGCCGCGCTTTTCCTCCTCATCGGCCTTCTCGCGGCCACAGCTCCTCCATTTCCTTTTCGTTCGGGCTGCTTGTCGTCCTATGTGGCTCGCCTAAGCCCCTCCCAAGCCTCCAGCTTGTCCGGATGTCAGCCGTCACTTCTTCCTTGCGCCTCCAGCTGACGGGGAGCCCTCAGACCTTGGTGCGGCCGCCTACCCAGAGCCTGGCGACTGTTGAGAGCGCGGTGTCTTCTTTCTCCCTCGTGGAAGCCTCCGTCAGGTCAGTTTATCTGTCTGTAGTGATGTGGTGGTGCGTGCGCCTTGTGTGGGGTGGTGCACAGTGACCGTTGTGTGCACACGCCTGTTGGTCACTCCTGACGTGTGCGCTCACACACCTGCCTGCTGCGTCTGTGTGCAGATGAGTTTTTGAAAAAAGGCCGTCTCATCTCTCGACACAATCTCTCGGTAAGTGTATCAGTAAGCCGATTCTTCATTTTCCAGTGTCGAACAGAAAGCTTGATGCCGCTGGTCTCGCCTCAGGTGCACGCACCAGTCGTGTTGAGAGCTCTTGGAGGGAGCTCAGCGTAGCCGCGGATCATCGCACTCGAAAGCCTGTCAATCTGCATCAGACCTGCGAGGTGCGCATAGAAGAGCTTCTGTTTGCGGAGGGGTGGGGTGCACGAGCAGGACAGTGCTGTATGTGGTGTGTTGTCTTAAGTGTCTGTGCGCGTGCCGCAGCTTGATATTGGTGTTGGTTTGCTGAAGAACCACAAGGTGATCCGCCCACAGTGCCCTCCCTCAAAGCAGCAGAACATCCTCAAAGCAGCAAGAGAAGGAGAAGGAAAGAATGTCTATTCAGACGGATGTTCCAAATCACCAAAGAAATCGACAGTGTCCGACGCCGGCAACGGCTCTCAAAGAAATTGTCAGATTCACATCCTGTTCCACATCAAGAAGCTCAGGCGAGAAATATTCCTGTGGAAGAGACCGTCAGAAAGATGAGGCGACATGGTATGGTCTGGGTTGCGGAGACATCGGCATCAGGCTGGACAAGCGGGACTTCGCCACCGACGTAAGAAGCATGCTGCAAAAGGCTCTGTATGTATGTGTGTCCAGCGTCCCCGGCTGGAAGTTAGATGTGGAAGTCAGACGCAATGACGAAGAGGAATCCACCTTAAGGCGGCTGGTTGCAAGAGACACATGCACAGCACCGTCGGCTGTGTTGCGTACAGGTCGGTGAATGAGAAACTAGCAAGCACAGGATACTCACATCCAGACCTCTTATGCTCGCTGTTCCTTCTTTCCTTCTGCAGGATGGTGACGCGACGGCCGAGGCCGGAGGTCATCAGGCTGAGGCGACGGCCCCCACCGCTCCCCCAACTGCCCGCCTGGCCAGCGGGAGCAGCGCAGAAGCTGGCTTGGGCAGCTGCTGAGGCCTTGTCGGTGGCCTTCCCGAAAACCACCGAGTTCGTCAAGGACGCCTTCCCCAGAACTGCCGCCCACCTGCGAGGGGTACGACAGATACACACGTGAATACATCACGGAACCACCACATCCATTCGTGTATCCCTGCACTC